TTGTTTGGGGTATACTCTAATTTATTTTGCAACACTTAGAGTTGCAGAATTGATTACTATTTTTAAATTTAACTTATTTCTGTTAGTATGAAAGGTAGGAAAAAATAACGACGTGGTATCTGACTAGCGAATCACCCTGTATGTATAAATTTTCTTGACAATATTGTTTATTTGAAGAAACAAGTGTTTCTTAAAAATATGAAACGAAGTCCTTCCCTTTTAAATAAAGTATATAATCTTGTACTCATTCTCTAGTTTGATAACTTTACATCTGAAGTGTTGACTATTTATAGGAAAATTCTATTCGAATTTGTGCCCCACCACCACCACCATACGTACAACAAATTTTTAATATCGTTAAAAGTTCATTAACTAGGGATTTTCTAGAATATGGTAAAATAAGGAAAACTTTCCAAAAGGCATTTTCAATTACATTTTGCTATGATGAAACCAGGGGTGACAAACTGGAGAGTCGGTTGAGGCTCCTTCTCTTACTTTTCTGTTTTGTACAAGCGTAGAAGAACTGCTCCCTACCCCACCCCCACTACGCCTAGTCTGCACAGTTGGAACGAAGGTTCGATGGGCATGTAATTAGCGTGGAACGTGATGATGGAAGAAGTGGTTGGCTGGTAGTGAGACTGTTGTGGCTCACGTCGAAGTTCGTCACCTTTGGTGTAGACTCTGTTGCAAGTATCTGTAACGCAGGTTGGTGCAATAAACGAGACAATAGTGTTCGCTATTCGCGATTGGTAGTTGAACTTAGCGATGGCAGCGATATCGATACTATCGATGATAAAATAGTGCACGGTTTAATTTCACACGATCTATACTCACTCTATTTTGCAATTTTTTTCATATTTCGGTCCACCTCACATGTGTGTATTAATATAACAGAAATTCTTTTACAATTTGTGCTTTGATGATTCGATCGTTGTCCTAGTAAAAATTAATTCTGTTTTCCATTTTGAAATATTTAAATATTTGTTTTTATCAATGTTGTCAACATATTTCTAGAACTAGATAGCCAGAATAAAGCCATATATTATAGGGTTGATGCATAATTATCCGGCGTTTTCTCAACAAATTTTATTTAACAAAATTAATAACAATGTTTGACAAAAACTTGTTTACACGATTATTCGGGAGCGTAGTCACCGTCTACTTCAATTACAGCTTCCCATTTGTTTGGCAGACGGTCGATTCCACGAGCGACGAAGACACGATTCTTAGAGACGATCCACGCTTTGACATCGGCCACCAAGTCATCCAAATCGTCGTAAATCTTATTCATTTGCCAGTTTTTCAAAGAGCGGTTGACGTGATAGTCCGTAGGTGTTTCGGTCGGTGGTATCACCTGATTTGAAACGGGCAAACCACTCCCTACACTGACTTTCGCTGATTGTTCCTTCGCCAAAAAGTTCGTTGAGATCGCGAAACGACTGTGCTGCTTTTCATCCTTTCTCGAAGTGGTAGAGCATAATATGGCGAATATTAATATGGTTTTCGACACGCATTTTTCTAAAACATTACAGAAGATTATTTTCATACAAAAATAATAAACAAAACGCTACTTTTCACTGATAAAAAACGAGCCGATATAAACGCCGGATAATTATGCATCAACCTTATAATACAGCAAACATGCTTCTATTTCCATTAGAATATACATATACGTACATACATATACATATAGGAAATTAAGTGATGGAATAATATTACTTTTACTGATGAGAACCAAATTAATAACTACGATAATGTGGGAAGAGCGAAACTACGGAAGAAATGGAAAGTAAAATTAAATCCAAACACAACCAATCATAAAATGCGATGGCCGATTTGTAATGGTGTGGTGGTGTATCTTTTCGCACGAGGTCGTTGAATTATTAGTTGTTGATATCGTTCTTGAGAAGGATAAAGTTTTACAGAAGATGATCACAGTAGTTTTTAAAAATAAAATAGAGTCTAAATTATTTATGAAAACTTTTTTGAGCTTCACAATTGTGTACAATTTTTTTTTTTCTGTAGATAATCGTTATATTGATTCTATAGATTATGGCCTATTAGAGAACAATGTTTAAAAATATATTGTAAAATTGCAAAAAATTAAATTGCTTTACAAAACATAAAATTTGATAAAGACTAAAAAAAAGTTCTCGTTTTAATGAAAAAAACTTGTTAAACCATAGAAAAAATTTAGTTAATAATGTATTAAAGAGGCTACAAGACGCGATAGATAGTAAAGGACATATGAAATATGAAAATAATACGTTTACTAAATATAGAAAGTGTAATCGAAGAAATATTCATTAAACTTTTGTTCAGCTAGTTTTTTCACTTGTTCCATTCTTTTAAATAAGACATACATTTTCTTTTATCTATGTTCGATTTTCTTCCTTCCAATACTTTACATAACGTATGTACGTGTTTATGAAAAATTTTATCGTGAAATATAGTCTCTTTTTATAAAATCATATCTTTTTAGTTATCTACTTAATATAATAAAATGTAGTTAAGCAAGGCAACGTCTGTAATAACGTTTCCGTAAACCTAACAATTTATATAAATAATAAAGCTTACCCAATGTACACGTCTGCCACATCCATCATTTTTGTGATCATTCTTTCTTACTGTCACGTGTTTCTGCTGTTCATTAAATATCAATTCGTCAATATTAAAGTCCAATGATAGGCTTCACTTTGAAGATGTCTCGTGTCGCGTATAGACGTATCACACCGTGTCGCACTTATCTGTGATCTTAATTGGTGATCGTTGTAATGATAAAATTGAACTCTCGTTAAAATAATCTGATTTTGTTCAATTTACAACTTTCGCATTCATTATTAACACGAGCATGGGAATTTAACTTGTTGTTAACATAGTGCGCGAAGGAACGTGCAATGTCGCATCAAACGAGTCGACTTCTGAAACGAGCCTCGATGGTAAACTCTGACGCAGTTATGGTGCGTTCAAGTTTGACAACAACTTTCGACTTTACTTAGCTTAACCACGTCTTTATCTATCGTTAGTCTCTAGCTACAATCGAGGACAAAAGGACAAGACACCCTATTAATCTGAATTTTCATACAATACTTTCATAAAATTCATTGTACATCTCTGTATAATAATTTTATTTCATTACCATTTAGTATCATCTTTTCTGGAAAATTACCAACAATTCCCACGGCATGTTTATTTATTTGCTTTTTAATGATATTTACATACTCTACAATATTATTCATCTTCAATAACTTTTAAGATACAATTTGTCCCAGTTGCTTGGAATACCCTATATGTATATGTATTCTTTATCAATGGAAATATTTAGCGTGATCGCGATAAGCGGATTTACTAATTACCATTTCTTTTGCATTGAAATTTTACTCTCTTAAATTCTACTTGTCGCAAACAATATACTTTATCTTGGTCTATTTCTTTTTCAAGAAAACAACATATAATACATTGATCCCTACAAAAAAATATTGTTTGTAAACTTGAATATATCAAGATTAAGGATAAAGCTTTTAACGAGTAAAATTTGTGGATCATAAGAGCAACGTTAAAAATTGTCTTGTTTTTAAGACCAACAAGGAGTTTTTCTTTCCCTAATTTTAGTGATATATTCTAATCAAATTTACAAATAGAACTGTAAACAATACATTGCACTATATTACATAAGTAGGTATAAATAAATCAAGATATGGTACATAGTTCCTTTATTCCCAAATCTGTTGATACATTTCAATACAATTGAATAAAATAATGCAAGACAGAGCGAAAAGCGTCGACGAAGATTAATGTATAATAAAATTTAAAGTAAGTATTGCAAAAGAAATATCAGTGAGACTTTCGTTCACTAGTGATATACATATTTATAAACACTACCGTTAGAACCAACCGAGCAATTAATCTGGCAACTCCAGCTTTTAACTACGTCGGTTAAACTCGTTTGGAAATTGCATTCCTAGACGATGCTCGTTATTCTGGAACTAGGAAGCTTTTTGTGGAATCATTGTCCGCAACGAAGTTCGTTTGATGTCAAGCCGTAAGGACAAGTAATGACACGTCTCTTTTCGCCCGCTCAATTCATGAGACCACCAGACGGCAATCAGTGTGATGAGTGATAACAAACAACAATTACTACGTGCAGTCTGCGGCAAAAAGAGAGAACTGGGCCATTGACGGCGCACGTGGGACGAACGGTACTTTGTAACTTGAGAGTGAAAATGCAGCTTGATTGTCGTTATTAAGCTACTGTATTCACATGCATGCTGCTGTATTTGTAGACATAGTGCTGTTCGTAATTGTTTCTACCGACTTTACGCTCCAGGAAGAATAGGGAAATTACATTCTTACAAGGAGAAAAGCAGATGTAGAAATTAAATTTGCCTACGAGCCTGAAATTGTGGATCTCAATGAGTTGCTTAAGAAAAATTTTTTAGAGATATGTCCTTACATTGATGTAGCCTTATAGACTAATGTGATAAAATAAGTCAAACAACAGTTAACTCTTATTCCCTGTTTTTCTCCTTTTTAGTATGAGCAGCATTCATTATATCAATCTGCCGGTATTGTACATATGTACATATAACTATATCGTTTTTCAAACATTTAGAAAGGTCTTTTGAGGTTGCCATTCATTTATAACAATTCGCGAAGCACAAAATTAATATTCTGAATTTTCTTTCATATACTATTAACATACTACAGGATTTTATATACTATGACAAATGGACTAGTTTAGGGAATTATATTATATTATAATTATATTTACGTGATAGACAATAATTACTTGAATTAGTCTGTTGTAATATATAAAATCCTGACTGTTTAGCAATTTTTAATACATCTATCACTTTATTTCCCTATGAAATAATTGGTCGAATTAAGTACGTGAGATCTTTTATTTTCATAATTTTCATTTCAAGGAAGAAAAATACATTGTATATAACATTTAACAAACATTTGTTTTTGCAATAATACTTAATTTGTAAGCTCCTCGGTGTCCATATTAGTATTTGTTATAGTCTATTATCGAGACTAGTTTGTTAGGAATTATACAAATATTAATATAATAAACGTAATAACGAACAAACATTAAATATAGGTGTAGAACTAGAACCACGAGTCATAAATAATGGTAACGGTTGGTATCACGATGGAAGTAATGCAAAGAGACTAGGACATGAAAGAGGACTAGCGTCCCAATGGCACTTTATATTCTTCGATGCGTTATACTTGCATTTCCTCCTAAATTCTTCTCACTCTTCTATTGTCAATTAACGAGACTTCATTTCTTGCTTCACGCAATAGGTAAAGGCCTGCCAGTTTTCTCGTCGCTGTTGCGACTGTAAAACATATACACAGAAACGTACAATAGCATTAATTAGAGATTCCCATTAATAGTTACAGATAGTTATTAAAATAGCGACTATCAAATCATGTTTAGGACAACGAATCAACAATTAATTCATTATTTTTTGGGTCTGCAATGTGGATCTACTTGTATGTCTAAAGAGTCGATGGATTTCTTATTGCAATAACTATTTTACTTTTGTTTACAAACACCAAGTATTGTTGTTTCTATGATACAACTATGCTTTTCTACTTTTGAAAGCATTTTAATTTCAATCAATTCACAAATTTCTAAATAAAAGCTATGTAGATAATAATTGATCAGAGATGGGCAAAATTTTACTCATAGGTATAATAAATGACCAGTTATTTGATTGTACCATTACTTGGATGAGTTTTTATCCGTCAAATATAATTCCATTTTGTAATTTAAAGTCTAAGAATTGTATTTGTTATTCAAAATTTGTATTTAGATAAGAACTTTGTCCATCTTTGTAACGAAGATTCCTGGACAATGATAACCATCTATGCACTGAAATAGACCTGAATCGGTTGCAGTATAGCGGGGGTATCTAGTATTATTTATGATACACTGGAAACAGAAATAATCTACTTCATCAAGTTGTACCTTGAATCCTCTTTTAAGTCGATCTTTCATTATCGCAATGAACTCCTTGTAAGATAATTGACCATCGCCATCTTCGTCAAACAATACGAAAACAGTGTCGATCATGTGATTTGAGAGTAAGCTTCCTGTACATATTTTCACAGCGCGCTGGAACTCGTCTGAAAAGGGAACAAATTTATTATTCAGATCTTATAATCGTCTTTCTTAACTATGTGCATTGCTCGAACAAAAAACAATTTTTCAAACCTTTTGATATTGGATGGTCTGCTAAGGTGTACATTTGCATAGCTATTGAGAAATCATCGATATTATTTAAGAACTGATAAAAACGTCGGAACTCCTCGAACGTAATGCCAATTTGAAGTTCCGAGTTTTGAAATATCCTGTCCAAATACTTGTCGTATCTGTAAACAAAAAATTCAAAAGTAAGTTGTCGAACTTCTGTTAAAAGATCTATAATGTTATAATATATAGAAGAACTTTAATTATTTAAAATAAAAATAGTTTTTAAAAGCTTACTTTTGTCCCTTATTTTATAGAAGCTTTCAAATTCTATTTTTTGTACAATAACGAAAATGTTTAAGTGTTTTGTTCATACATTGTTCAAAATAATTAAAGAATCAAATACTGAAAATTATATTATTGTTCAGCAAAGTATTCAAAATTTTTATTAGCCTGAGCAAACTAATATAGGACTTTAAATCTTAGTAACTTGAAATGATAGTATTTGCAGGCTTATAATAGTATATAAATTTAATTATAGCTCGTAAATAGCAAAGTTTGACCAAATAGATTAAGACTTTATATGTATAAGTTAGTTAAAATATTATTGGAGTATACAGGGTGTTCGGCCACCTCTGGGATAAATTTTAATGGGAAATTCTAGAAGTCAAAATAAGATGAAAATCAAAAATATCAATTTGTTGACTGAGGCTTCGTCAAAAAGTTATTAAAAAATTAAATGAAAAAATTTCAAATCGTTCTGGAAAAATTATTCTTGTTTGCGGGGGTTTATTACAATCATTTTTAGTGAATATACATACCCCCGAAATCCTACGTACTTTCGAGAAAAAAATTCTTTACAGAAAATATACTGTGTGACCGGAAATGTTTCTATAACTTTTTAACGAAATCTAGTATCCTTGATTTTCGTCTTATTTTGGTCTCTAGAATCTCTCATTAAAATTTTTCCCAGGGGTGGCCGAACACCCTGTACACATAGTACTTTTTTCATCTCTTATATTTAACTTATTTTCTAGAATTGTTAAGAAATAGGATTCCATAATTATGTTAAGCAGTAAACTAAATTGTGTATGTCGGTGCTTTTCAATAAAAAGTTTTAAAACATTCAGCATCTTAGTAGTCACTAAGAACTGAGGGTCATTTAGTAAAATATATTATGAAATAAAATAACTGGAGAAAGAGCGCTCACTCGTCGGTGTCGAGATAGGTGTATCGCAATAATATTTTAGCAAAATCCAGCTCTGAAATAGTGTCGCGCCCTTTACTAAATTCGTGAAATTCAAGTTCTAAAACTTCCTGCTGCAAATTCTCCATGAATCCCTTGAAATCTTCGTACTTCAGCTCATTGGCACCATCCTTTCCAAAGAAGTGTACCATTAAAGTTGTGTCGACAGCATGTCGGCGTTGCAAACCCTGTGAAGAATAATTTATAATTTATATAAATAATATAAGAGTCTTTCATACGTATTATTATACTTTTTTTAAGGTAAATATATCCTCGAAAAAACGATAAATATATTAATAATAAAATTAGTTTTAAATATTGTGTACGAATTAAATGGATCATTTCTTATTTAAAATTCCTATCGAAATGATTGACCAGAAAAATAAATTTATTTATCATCATTTAATTGAAGTCAGATATTTACAATGTTAAGAAAATTCATATAATTAATATAATTTGTATAGGATATTTATCAAACATTTAATTTATATAGTGTGTGTAGTTTTTCAAAAAACAAGAAAATATATTTTACATTTAATTGTTTTAAAACTAACCTGATCGTCGTCGATATATTGAACTTGAATTTCTTCCGGGGTTGTTTGTCTTTCAGTTAAATGCTCCAAATTTTCTTTAGTTTCGGTTCCATGACGGCCTCTCCAAGCGTGACTAAAAACCTTCTCCATCTACGCGAACCGAGGTAGAAAAAGTTGTTAGAACTTTCGGTCTTTCGATTATATATATTATCCTTTATAAGACAAACATACAGATGGATTTGCATAATAGAGGGGCAAAATGGCAGCTAAGATTTCAGCATCCAGCGCTAATGTGTCTGAAATAAATGGCAAAAGAGTTAGTATAGCAGATTGTTATCCTACGTTAATATCGAGCGACGCGAATCGTTCTCGTACGTAATCGGAATCTACACACATCTGTAGTGTTACAATTTCATCGGATTGATTAATTAGGGTTGATCGTATAATCGAAGGCGTTAAAAATTAAGGGCGATGAAAAGGCATATTTAAATTTTAAATAATTGTTTAAATGTTATTTCGTTATCGCAAAATATTATAAACAAAAATAAACTCTCAAAAAACAAGATGGACGAATACAATAAATTTTGATACACTCTGTGTGACACGTATAGTTAATGTGTGTATTTTGTGGTATAACGTCACAGTGGTTTAATAATTATTTATAGTTAAGACAAACATTATTCTGCGATTTTAATTATTACAATTTTGAATTATCAATCGAAATATTTTTAAATAAAATTTATACACAGTTGTATTTAATATATAGTAAATATATTTGATAAATAATATTTTCATTTGTGCATAGAAATAATAAATAATGATATAATTTTGAATGGTTCGATGGTAAAGTTCGAAAAATACAAAAATCGTAGTAATTGAAATCGTAGTTTAAAGTCAACATTAAAATCCAAATTCACTCTTTAAAAGAAATAAAACAATTACATATCACACATTTTTACCTATGGATAACTTACGTAAGAATTAGAACGAATCTCTGTGTTCTTGTTTCCCAGTTGGTTGTTACGAAGTTTCGGTTTTTTAATGATTTCTCGTTTCGGGTCGATTAAGGAATTCAACTAATGTGTGAAAATAAATAAAATAAAACATGAATGATTATTACGTAAAAAAGAGCAAACTAAATACAAAGTCCACTATATGTACGACACACAAACGTAAGCTTTTATGACACCTGAAACGATAAAGCAAAGGTGCCAATGAAAGTGCAACTAACAACAAAATTGAAACAAACAAGACAACTATAAGCATCGAAACGAATATAATACGAAAACGAAAGAGACAAAAGATGGAGGAAAAAAATTAATTTTGAATTGAATAAACTTCGAAATTGAAAGTTTAAAAATTAGAAAAAAGTTACATTGATACTAGCGTCCGAATAAAGTAAAATTAAACAAGCTTGATAATAATTTGAAAGGATAGGTTTGTTGTTTGTTATTTCGAAATCTGATAGTACGGTTCGTTAATTGGAAACATTAGTATTGCGTTTGGACGTTCGATTTTATATATTTAAAAGTAAAGGGACGTTAATCTTCAAGAATGGTTTATTTAGAAGAATATATTAGACGTCGAGGAAAGTGTGAATTGATCACACTGTCAAGCAAGTTCGTTAGTAGTCAAAGGCACAGCCGTCATGGGCTGATTACGGCAGCAAGCGAGTAGAATGAATCACGCGGCAATAATCGAGGCTACGCTCGAACTCGACTCACATTTTCACGAATATGCTAAAACTCACTAGACGTTTCGTTTCGTCGTCGAGATTCCGCTTCTTCATGTTGCCGCCGAGCAGTTCTCGAATCTGTGAAAATTACAAACGTATTCGTGCAAATTGGAAAACCCTACTGCGTTACGTCGAACGACCTTCGGCGTTTCGTGTCACACGATTTCTTTTCTCCCTTTCTGGTGACAGAACATCGACAAATGTCATTTTCCTAAAATCTCTGTTATCTGTGCTTTCATAAAAAAAAATAAAATAGAACAAAATAAAGTATATTAACAGAACACAATAATTCGACGAATTTGGCTAGCATGGAAAAATCAATTTTTTACACTCGTCTACCTTACCTAAAAGTAATGTAATTTAATTAATTTCTTGCTTTTTTATATTTCATCATAGTTGACGATTTCGACAAATTTTGTTAGTAGTTTTGAAGAATAATACGGTTTATTACAATTAGAAATTACTACAAACTAGAGTCTAATAATTTCTTCACCAAGTGTTTGTAACTGTCAGTACGAATATTTTCGTGCACTGATAGCAACGTATTTATAAAGTCCTTTTTAAAGTTTATCGCACAATTTGGCTGCGAAAAGGGTATAACTTTAATTTACATTATTTATCATTTTGTTACATAGAGTTTAAAACTCGCGGTTTTGGTGCTGTGTTTCTATTGGTTACGTGCGAACCAATTACGCGTTTCTTCCTACGTTGTCCGTACGATGCGCGTCTCGAAACCATGTGCAATGTATAAAATGTATTTACACGCGTCGTGTTGTAGTATAATTACAAACTAATGTATATTACCGTCTGTAAATACAATACTAAATGTTCGTGAATTCGAGTGTTCATTTGGAATAGACCCATTACCCTAACATATCTGCTGTCATTCACGATTTACAATTGCTTAAATAAAAGAGGTTACTCGGATAAAATGGCCAATTTCGCCCCAAAAGTGAAAATGTGTAGGAAATAATTGCGGTTAAGTTCTTAGGTATGTCTAATAAACATTTCTGTAAAGTTTTATAAAAATTGTCGTGTATCGGTTACGAGGGTTCTCTTATCAGTTTCTTGTTTTACTCAACTTTCCCTTGCATTTAACCATAACTGGAAACTAGAAAAGCAAAATACAAATGCTGATTGTAGTTCTGCGTCCTAATGTCTGGGAGTTCCAAAACTGGAAGCCTATAACTTCCTGATTAGAAGATTACAAACATTGTTTCAACCCTTTGGGGATTAATAGATTTAAGCAATCAGTCTTTTCATCTTTTTTGTATCGCAGAAGAAAGCATTCAATGACTTTCATATGAGACTTAAATAAGTTACAAGTTAGATTTGTCATTGCACAACAAGGTGTTAATATTCGTTGCTAATTAAGAAAATCGTAGATCGAAATAAACTTGCAAATTATCACATTCTTTAATCCTTACCACTCCTGTGTCGAGTGTGGCTCGACATCATATTTCTAACACCAACTCTAAAATTGAGCTAGACATTATACAATGCAATTTCTAAAATAATTTAAATAAAAAATATATTTGTTATGCACTTTGCACTCTTGCAATATATTTTATTGAGACATCCTTTTTTAAATGTATTTTGTAAATTAATTAAGTAATTGTTGGAAGATATAACAAAAAAATTAAGGAGTGCAAAGGATTAAGCCATTGTATTATTTTTCCTTAATTTTTATAAACAGAAATAGAAGCAACGAAATCATTTTCTTATTTCTTCTTGATACTATAAGTGGCATTCTACTTAATGTAATTGTTTTAAAATATACTGTGTTTGTTGCATAAATTAAAATCACTGTAAAACCTCAAAGGGATAAATTATTGCTCATGCATGTGACTTATATTTATCCATTAAAAGCCGATAATGTATTCCGTGCGCGCAATGTAATTGCAGTCGGTGCAGCAAATTAACTTAACTTATTTAAGAAGCGTGATCAGAATAAATTTTATAATCGATGGTGCAATTCTGTTTAGTGAAATAAAAGTTCGGTTTAATTTCTACGTTTGGTATCGCTATTCAAATTACCAGAGAAGCGTGATCGGAATAAATATTTGCATCCGGTATCGTGATTCTATCGATTATGTGATTTTTAATGTCGATATCGCTATCGAACTTGTGTCTTAAAATAAATATTTTGGAAACGTCGAATTATGTTTTTGCATTCCAACAATGTACATGCAGAATTGGAATGTGTATAAAAAAAAAAGGAAAATTGTATTCATACGTGCAAAAATGTAAAAGAACAGTTGTCTTACCACAAGAAATTCAGTTTTGTCCACACGTTCGTTTCCATCAGTGTCGAACATGTTAAACGCGATATGAAAACCTGTTTTAGGTTCTGAAATCAAATTTCTCGTTATTTTGAATCGTGCAGTAATCATGTTTGTGCAGATATACAGGGTGTTCGGCCATCCCTGGGGGAAATTTTAATAGGAGATTCTAGAGGTCAAAATAGGACGAAAATCAAGAATACGAATTTGTTGATGGAGGCTTCGTTAAAAAGTTATTAACGTTTAAAGTTCCGTCCGTACTGAATTTTTTCCTAGGAAGTGGGTAGAATTTCGGGGGTAGGTCTAATCACCAAAAATTATTGTAATTGTCACCTGGAACCAAAAATAATTTTTTCAGAATGATTTAAAATCTTTTAATTTAATTTTTTAATAACTTTTTAGCGAACCCTTTGTATAGAAATTGATATTCTTGATTTTCGTCTTATTTTGGCCGTTCGAATCACCCATTAAAATTTTTCCCAGGAGTGACCGAACACATATTGTCGGTCGAATTTACGAAAATAGCGAATACTTACTGATTAGAATGGACAAAAGAAACAAATACTCCGTATAGGAAACAATTCCTAAAAATAATGAGAAAAGAAAAAAGATTATTGTTACTGATAAAATCATTATAATATGTATATTATACATTTTATGAAAGAAAAAAGTGTTTCATATTATTCAAGAGTGTTGTTTATGAAACATTTTTTTCATTATTTTAAATATTTCAAACTTCATCTGCTTCTGATTGTCAACTGCCAAACAATTAATTTATCTGTGTACGTTTCATACTGTCTATACAAAACTAACGAAGCGTTATACTGGTCTTTAGAAATTCACAGTGTAAACAATAATTCAATTTAAATAATAATTCTGTTTGAATTTTTTAACATTGGATAACAGATAGAAACAAACTGTAGAGGGAAAGGTTAAATGGTATAATAGTATCTATTTTTCAAAGTTCGTATTTCTCCTATTCCTCAATAAATAATTATTAAAAATATTAATCTTAAACTAACTTAAAAAAAAAATAAAAAATAAAAATATTATTTGATATAAAAAATAAAATTTTACTTTATTTTGTTCATAACTGCAACGATGCACCAAAAAAATGCAGTTGCATATTTTTTTTTAATCGAATTGCATATTTTTATTTACTCAAATCGATTCCTCGGATAATACCGCGTAAAAAATCATTAGGACATTGTGTTTAAAAAATCAATATTTTGTGAGATATTTCACACGTTTAATAAATCGTCAAGTTAGTAAAATTTTCTGATACGTGGTGTACGATTTTGGTTGTGAATCACACTGTAATAAATTGAGAAATAGATGCCTGTTCTGTAGGATTCTCGAGTAGGAAACCCCCCTAAGGACATTAGATCCATTTGTATGAAAATGATATGTCGTTTCGTAGGGGGCACCCCTGTTTTGTTTACGACGACATCGTGACAAAGTTCCCCACTAATTTTCCCGATAATCACGTTAACTCGTATCTAACCGTAACAAGTTACAACGGAAGACGCCTAGAAAGTAGTCACGAATGGGACATTAGATACGCCTCATAGCGTCCTAGGCATTTCTGTCGGGCATCCCCTTTTTCTCGCGGCTCAAGAAACGCCTAATAACTTGGAGTCTTAACGGCGTCCAGTGAATGATCGTCGCGTTACCTAAATTTTCATTCACGGAACACACCCTTCCGCGTGCTTCAGCTTTGTAGCAGACATAAAATCGATTTTATTGCACTATAACCACTCTATAAAACGCTTTCACGGCATTGGGCGCGAAGAAAGTTTACGAAGCGGAAACACGAAGAAAGCGACCGGGGATGGAAGGAAACTGCGCCGTGAAAGCTCCGCCGTCGATGTACATATTTCTCTCCGTTGGACGATCATTTTTTATTTAAACCCCACAGATGAAGTTATATGGCGGGCAAGGTTGGCGAACATTAGAAATATTCGAGGCGACTTTTCGTAGCTTATACAATATTTTAATCGATATTATTCAACAATATTAACTTATTGTTACATAGAGGAAATGCGCCATATTTGGAGCGACAAAGTATCTAAAACACTAGTAATGTTATTCCATTTATAACACAGCAAATTAAAGAGAATTAACTGTTAATCAATTACATTTGTTGTTGAATTTTAATAGTTTTCAATCTGTTGAGAAATGTAAAACATAAATTTGCAAGTTTCTCAGCAAACATTCAATCGTTGCAACCGTGGTTAAAATATTTAAAAATTTTACGGTAATTTAATCTCATTTTGTGCAAAGGTTTCATTCACAGAATTATACGTCTTATTTTGCTACGTTATATCGTATAGATGTATGAGAATCCCATTGAAAGCCGAATCGTAGGTGGAGAATTTATACGAGAAATTTCATTCATTAAATTTTATGACTCGTACCATTACACTGTAAGTACGCATTTCGAGTCCCTTGAATTTCATTCGTAAAGTTTCTTAATTTGCTTCTCTATATTGTGCGACGCTTATGAGAATTTCCTTCGAAGTTCATATTGTAAACAATTAACATTTTTAAGAAATCTTCATTCGCAACGGTTCATTCATTTATTCCGTACAACTGGATATTTAAATTTTCGCGCGCGATTGTATCAATAACTATTTTTAATATACAGGGTGTTCGGTCACCCCTGGGAAAAATTTGAATGGGACATTCTAGAGGCCAAAATAAGACGAAAATCAAGGATACTAATTTGTTGATTGAGACTTCGTTAAAAAGTTAGAGAAACATTTCCGGCTACACAGTATATTTTCGGTAAAGAATTTTTTTCTCGAAAGTACATAGGATTTCAGGGGTATGTTTATTCACCAAAAATGATTGTAATTGATGCCTATAACTAAAAATAGTTTTTTTTTAGAACGATTTGAAATTTTTTAATTTCGCCAAAAAATTTCTGCACCTACTCGAATTTTGGGGGGTATGCCTATTCATGATTGTAATTGAGCCCCGCAACCGAAAATAATTTTTTCGTGAATGATTTGAAATTTTATAATAACTTTTTAACGAAGCCTCAATCAACAAATTGATATTCTCGATAATCTCCCATTAAAATTTTTCCCAGTTGTGGCCGATCACCCTGTATATTTCTGTTTTTGTTTTCTATATTTATTTTTATATTTTCTATATCTTAAAAAATGTCGGTAAATTATCGGCAAAGAGTTTTGATCGACACTTTTATCGACTTACCGATAGATAAAAACGTCGGTAAATGTGTAATCCCTACTTAGGAGATACAGAAGTGTTCAACTTACGAATCACGCATGGTGTTAAGAATCATTTGAAGAATCACTACCGTAATGTATCAATTTTTAAATCATAATTTAGACGATCGGTGTTACGGGCAAAAGCTTATTTGCGAACGAATCTACAATGTTCATTCGTCATTCGGGAATAAAATTTGTCCGACTTTAACAGTACAACACTTGGTACATGCGCAATAAGGAAGTATTTCGTATAGTTATGATGTACGTATAGCAGAAGAATCGATATTTGTAACAAGAGGCTTGTTTCGTACGCGGCCCAACGGTGCTTTACGCGAGCGTTCTATAATCGTAACGAATGTTCTCAAAGCTGAGTGGATCAAGTTAGGCTCGTATATTCGACCGTGAAATTCTGGTTCGCGGGCTCACGTGCACGGAAGAAAAAGAGAAAGTGGGATACGGAGAGGACGGTGGTGCTCGTTTATTAGAGGGAAGTGTGAAACTGGCTTCGCGCGCGATTATTTGCATTTCCATTAGCGCGACAAACGTGCGGCGAACGCGCAAAAAGCCAGGAAGGGGCCCGCGACTCGTTAACAACGGAACCCTATTATTTTGATCATCACAGGGGCGATGGAATTAATTGCTATGTCCGAAACGCGAACAAAATGCAACCAAATCAAATCTTTTTAAGCAATCAAAGCTGCTTATACGAATTCTAATACCATTTGATAATATTTGAAGCTATAATAAATAACAAAAGTTGGCGAGAAAAACTGTATAAAAAAAAAGTTTAATCGTAGATTTAGTTGGACTTTTTACTGTATTCGAATGTTGCAAACTATGAAAATAATTTTTTCTGAACGAAAATAGTTCTTCTTATTTAGCAAAATCCATTTAAAAACTGCAAATATATTTTCTTTTATATTACGTGAGTTATAATTATTTTTTAAATTTGATGCCATTTGAAAAATTGTATAAAAAGCTAAAATGGATTCGGTTATGGTCGTTGTCGTTTCGTTACGCAGAGGGGAACGTTCGTATTTTAAGAGTGTTTTTAGTTTAAAAGTAGCAGCTTTGTATGTATACCGTACGTCGTTAAGATTTCTTTCAAGCGTTTGGAAGTCAGAAGCTCGGGGCGTGTATTTCTCGATCGCTCACCTTTATCCCGAAGATTTCTGAACATATGCGGACTTCCTTGACGCAACGAAGGAACGCTATTTCTCATCACTTCCAGCTCCTTGTCAGCTAACACGCGTCTCTTCAGTCTAGCTAAAATATCACCGAAATTTATAGTTGTTTACGTTATTTAGGCACCGGGGTTCATCAAGGGACACCGTGATTTCACTGCGTCGTCAATGTCAGTTTGCACGGGGTGCGCGTCAAAGGGCCGAAAAATAGTTCCACGAACCAGTTTATTTAAAACATTTATTTTGTACGCGGAACGATGCGACCGATGCATCGAAATAGAATGTCATCAGAATATTAGAGAACGATTATTTATTACGAAATGCCAATTGAAAGAGAAAGATTTTCTACTTTGCTAGAATTGCAACGTTATCGATAAGACAGGGATCATGAATTATGATTTATCCTTCGAGCGTCTCACGCGAGCTTTTCGATGTTGCACGGTAATGCGATTCATTAATATATGTTGCCACAAATTACGAGGGTATTCGTTGTCAAGACAAAGCGAGTTATTATCGTAAGCTGACAGTGTTTATCGCACTCGGTGCAAATTTATTTAATACTTACGTCTGGGTTCGGGTTCAACAACACTGTCAAGGAAGTCCTGGGGCGTCATGTAAAGCTGCCCATCGTATTCCACCGATGCAAATTTTATAAACCTTCTTTCTCTCCTCGTTAGCTTTACTGCCTTTTGTGTCTCATCGTCGCGCTGCACAACAAAGTTAGAAATATACAGTGTGTCTTTTTACATATATCTTTTGATCGTAACTTTTTATAATACATAGCATTTCATAACAATAAAACCAAGCGTTAGAATAGTGTTCTTTGATGATATTTCACCGGCACTATTCGTTCCATAGAGCAGACCCAAAATATAATTGATTTCACGCAAACAGATACGTTGCAGAAGCAACTTTCTACAACCATTGCAATCTTTCAATCTACGATACTCGGTTGATATATTTCGAATGCAGATAGCTTACAGCTACACTTTCTATATCTGTTGTTTTGGGAATACAAGAAAAGAGAAAACAAAAAGTAAACAGTACATCAACTTGAAATATATCTTTTATTCATAAACACCTGTTGAACAAGTGCAAATAAAGATGTCGTTTCCAGTTCCCAATGTTTTCGTATTATTCCTAAGCACTGAAAAAGTAAAATATTTAATATTGTTTTTAGGTCAATATTATTAAATATTTTAATTTTTTCTATGTCTAGGAATTTTGATTAATGGAGGATGCAGTGGTGCAAGACTTAATTTAATAAATAAAGGTACGTTTCATAAAAATACCACTGTATCTTCCATTTTGATTGACTAAAATGGAGTCGATCAAAATGGAGGATGTAGTGGTGTTAAAAAGCGAAGCTTTTTATTTATGGTATTGTAAAACAGTGGAAAGTGGCATTTTATCTACTTTGTTATCAGAATAAATTAAATAAATAGAATTCGATATATTTTGTTGGGGACAGGTAGTGAAAAGTATCAATGGAGATTAATCAAAACAGTAGCTATTGTTATAAAACTTGATTACTTATTTGTACGATACATAGATTATTTGATAAAAAATCTGTTTATTTGGTTGATCGAGCCATAGAATGTTCCTTGACGAGTCGATTGGTTGATGAGAGCAACGAAAGGTTAAGAAACTACCGATGCACAGGAGGAACGCGACTATGAAAAATTGTCGAATTTTTCGATGGGTGAGGCTCTTTTGTTAACTTCCTTCGTGGGAGCCTGTAACGCCCACTTTGTGCTCGATTACTCTCCTCCCACTTACTTACCCGCTCACCTACACCGATGCGATACACGTTTCGCGTATTTCGCGACGTAAGCCGTAGTTAAGCCCTTAAATATATGTACACAAGAGTCATGTAACGACATGAATTTGCGATCTCACCGGTGCAGATTGAATCGTTCATTCTGGGGACGCGAAATTGCTGGAACGCGCGACTCCCGCGCCCGAGGGCTACGTTTCAGAAGAATTGATTATGAGTTATTGTCATATACTCGACCACACAGTTCCCTGTTTCTTTCCGTTATGCCCGGGGAATGGAGCGCGAATGCTTAAATAATGCGACACGGTGGACGTTGAAAGCCTCGGGAAGAAATTTTGCCCTCTGCAATTTACTTGCACCTGTTTAATTGAACAATTTTTACCCTCCAACCTACATTACTTGTCTCTGAAAGGGTATAGCCGAATAAGGGGGTCAAATGTGCCCCCAAACCGAATGGAACGAGCCACGGGTCATTCGATAGCAAAAAAAAAAACCCTGTGTGCAAATTTTTAACTTGAAATTTCGACCGTGGGGGTAGTAATGGGGTAAAAACGAAAATCATGTTTTTGTACAATTTCTCTTGACCTATTGAGTAAAAAAATGTAAAAAAATTCAGAGACATTTCGGGTACCGGGGCACATACTTTGGGAGATTTTCAGATTTTTTGATTGAAGAACCAGGTAGTGAAAAATAAAAAACAGCAAAAAATGCCGAAAAATGCCGATTACGTATTGAAGGAGGCTCGGAACTACTTTTATACTTTTACAGTAAACAGGTATTACTATTACTATTATTCTCAATTTTTTTCAGATTTTTCATTTTGGTGCGCCGCAGTGAAAAAAAATAAAAACCGAGTTTTTCCTCATTTTCTGCGTGTTAGAGTAACTTACACGTTGAATTTTTATGCATAATACTAAGTCCAGAAGAGAGACTCGAACCTACAGTAAAAAAACTTCCAGCGGTTCAGCAGTCGGACACTCTAACGCTGCGCCATCGACGTCGTTGAAAATATCGTTGATTTTCTAGGATATATTGCGCTCAACGGTTGGCTTTATTTTATTTGTTTCAATTGTTATGTAATTCTGCTTAGTGTAGAAACATTAAAAAGTCTACAAAACACTTATATATTGAAGGATGCATAAAAATTCAACGTGTAAGTTACTCTAACACGCAGAAAATGTGGAAAAACTCGGTTTTTACTTTTTTTCACTGCGGCGCACCAAAATGAAAAATCTGAAAAAATTGAGAATAATAGTAATAGTAATACCTGTTTACTGTAAAAGTATAAAAGTAGTTCCGGGCCTCCTTCAATACGTAATCGGCATTTTTCGGCATTTTTTTGCTGTTTTTTATTTTTCACTACCTGGTTCTTCAATAAAAAAATCTGAAAATCTCCCAAAGTATGTGCCCCGGTACCCGAAATGTCTCTGAATTTTTTTACATTTTTTTACTCAATAGGTCAAGAGAAATTGTACAAAAACATGATTTTCGTTTTCACCCCATTACTACCCCCACGGTCGAGATTTCAAGTTAAAAATTTGCACACAGGGTTTTTTTTTTTTTGCTGTCGCATGACCCGTGGCTCGTTCCATTCGGTTTGGGGGCACATTTGACCCCCTTATTCGGCTATACCCTTTGCAATTTTTATGTGATATTGAAAATAAAGTTGTATTTTTATTTTAAAAAATAATTCTATTAATCTTATAAAAATAACTTCTAGTTTTCTTTTTTCTTTAACATTTTCCTCTGTAATAGTGGGTTATAACAAATTTTGAATATTTCTATAGCTCCAAAACTTCAATTGCTGTCCCTTTAATCTATTAAAAAAAAAATTGAAGATTGATAGCAACAAATTAAGTAATTGCAAATAATTGTGGTACAACTCCATCTTATAAATCTATCAAATAGTAACGTATCGAAATAGAGGTAAAATCGACCAACGAAAATTGCGTTCAATCATTGTCAGCGATAAGAGGGCCACTGTTAAACGAACATAACGCATCCATCAGCTTTAGCTGAAGCAGGGATTCGGATTCTTTATTCGTGACACGTCGGTTTAGTGGCCGGTTTAAATTGGAGCAAGAGCACAGAATTATCGTTCGTATCAACAATGTTATTACATCATACAATCATCATTATCCGTATCAATCCATTGCACGAAAGCCCATTCACCTTGGCTCGAGTGGCGCGTACAAAAACGTATAGGCGTGCAAAATCACCTTAAGGATCTGTCGTGGTCTTATTGTTCGACGTATTTCCATAAGCGCCACCCGTAATCGGATACGGAGTCTTTCGCGAATCTCCTTCCGACCGTAAATCAAACTTTTCTTTTTTCGCGATAAATCGTTTTCACAATGGTTTGCACTTGTAACAGCTGTTTCCTGTTACTGATCAAGATTAACTCACCACTGACTTACAGTATCGTGTAGATACGAGAACAGGAAGGCTAGTATTTTTTTTTTTTTTTTCCTTAAAGTATCACTATTAAGCGTGAAATTGTAGAAATAAAATTGCTGTCATCAATTACGCACCTCTCTTAAGCTAGCAGGACCAAAGCAGCAGAATCACCACGGACCTAGTGGAATATTTAGTACTTATTTTGTACTAATTTGTACCACAAATAATAATTTTGTATCTCCTGCCGTTTTCAACAAAATCGTGGCGCTGCTAGCTTAATATTAAGCTGGCAGGACCAAAAGTTAAAATTAATGAAAATGAATAAATCAAAGTGGATACATTTAGTGCTGAATTTGTACTAATTTGTACCACCAAAAGAAATTTTGTACCTCTTACCGTTGTCAAGGAAATCGGAACGATGCGAGTTTAACGTTATGCTGGCAGGACCAAAAGTTAAAATTAATGAAAATGAATAAATCAAAGCGGCTACATTTAGTGCTGAATTTGTACTAATTTGTACCATCAAAAGAAATTTTGTACCTGGTACCGTTGTCAAGGAAATCGGAACGATGCGAGTTTTACGTTAAACTAGATGGTGAAAATGTTAAAATTAATGAAAATGAATAAATCAAAGCGGATACATTTAGTGCTGAATTTGTACTAATTTGTACTATCAAAAATAAATTTTGTACCTGGTAAATTGAAATCCACATTTTAAGTGCGTGGCCTCCCAAAATTTATTTGTTATTAAGACTTGCCAATTGCCAGGTTGTAAAACTTTGCGCAAGCGATAATATGTCTTTCTTCTATTATTTATTCTACGTTTATATACTTTTTCCGTCAAGAGGTTTATAAATTCCTCTCTCAAAATGGAAATGACATAAAAATTCTCCATAGGGTCTTTATCCGATGAAATATTTATAGAACTTTCTTTCCAATTTGTGTCACTCGTTACACTTTCAAATATGGAAACATTTCCCTCATTGCACACTTTATTAAAAATAATATCCGTAACATTGTACCGATTGCACATGGTGAATACATATAAATTGTTTGTAGTCACTTTATGTTCAAGATCTTGCGCGATAACACGCCACACATCATGTGTTTTTGAAACAATATTAGTATCGTTTTTTATGATATCCTTATATTTCAATATTGTTTCGTTTATTTTTTTGGGATTAACTTTTCCCGGTCTACCACGTATTGGAACCATGATACAAATGTATTTCACTGCTAACTCGGAATGAATTCTGATGAAGACTAAAGATCGAACTCCGTCGATCTGTACCAAAAAGAACGGTTGAACAACGTAACAATTGAACAGCGCAAGAGTTCCGACGAACTTCGGTTACAGATTAGCGCGAATATTCTTTTCTTTAATATTGTTTAGGCCTGTTATAAATTTTTCTCTGTACATATTGTGTACTTTTCTTATTTTTTATTTAGTGATAAGACCTTCACCCGTCATTTATTAGTTTGCAACAACGAAACCTTTTTTCGTGGCAGGTATAAAGACATATAGCCATAAAA